ATTATATGGACAAATTTGAATGTATTCAGTCACTAAACAAATATTTTTTGTAGAACCTATTCTGGGACTGGTTTTATGCTGGGTACCAAGGATATGATGGTGAGCAAAACGAAATAAGGTCCCTGCCCTCATGAAATATAGCCTAATAATAATAATAGCCAACATTTATTGATTGCTTATCATGTGCTAAACACATCTCATGACTCATATCATGGAACTCTCAGCAAAACTACCATGAGGTATCTATCAGTACAAAAACACACCATAATGAGACAAGCAGATTTTTTAAGTCAATCATCTTCTGCTCTTTCCCAGAGGATACGAACTCAAGTCTGCTATAGTTTGAGAATACGGCTGGGCATAGATGGCAGGTGATTACTTTACATTGCTTTATATCTGAGTTTGCATTTTCTGGGGGAATTTATTACATCTCCACAAATTTAGCCACTTGTCTACATTTTCTGAGTTAGTTTAGCAGAGCTGGGATTTGAACCCAAGTCCTCTCACTCCAGAGCTCATGCTCTTCCTTACTCCACTCTTCCACCTCTGCATCCCTACCGTCTTCTACCCTTCAACAGACAGATACAGTAAAAGAATGAGGGAGGGATGACATGGCAAAAGCATCCAGACAATCACATCAATTCTCTTTTGCTTTGTGTATTTTAGATAGAACTAAGGACAACCATAATATTTCCTTTTTGCATTTCTCTCTAAATATTTAACAGCCCTATTTCAGAATAAGTGATACTGATAAAATTTTAAAAGAAATGTATATGGCCCATCATTTAAACGAGAAAACTTATTTTTCAGAAAAAAAAGTTGTAATGGGATCACAATAAGATGCATACATCAGATTCCCATTATACCACAGTCTAACTTAAATCACAAATGAGCATTTATATTATTATATCATTATTGAGCAACACACTCCACTCACTCATTCAATAGGCATTTATTGAGAATGTACTGCTTGAAAGGCTCTACATTTAGAGACATATTCATTCAGATATACATCAGACAGACACTGCTTACCCTTCACAAATTTATAAAGGGCGACATTTGAGGGTGAGAGGAGGAAATAAAGGGGTGGGTGTGAGCAGAGGGAGGAGTCTAAGACGACTCCCAGGTGTCTGACTTGAGCCACTAGAGAGATGCCGCGCCATCCAGAGAGTGAAGAAAGAGAGGCTGGTTCAGAACACATGGGGTTTTTGACATTGTGAAGTTTTATTTTCTTTGCTGTTTTGAGGCTGTTTTGTTTTGTTTCCACCCGATGCTCTGGTTGAAGCACTGTGCTCCTTGGAGCTTAGCAGTGTCATAACCTGGGTCTGATTATCTTGGTTTTATGAGCCCAATTAGAGATGGTAAAATATGTATTCAAGAGATTTCTGCCATCCTAACAGCCTCTAACCATCTCTGAGGATTCTTTTCCTTACTGTTGCATTAATTATATTTTAATTCTTTTGTCTTTTCAACACAATTATAAGAGTTTGTGTTAGTCCGTGTCCATGCCTCGGCATGTCCACCCTTCCTTCACACAACTTTCCTATAGGAAAAGAAAAAACGCATTTATACTATGATTTAGTAGAATGCAGCAGTAGGTGCCTAGCTAATAAATGATGTCATTAAAATCTACTGGAAAAAACATGATTCATCTTGGTTTTGAAATCTTATAAAAAAAAATGTGGAGAAATTAAATGGTGTTTTATCATTGAATAAAAACGTACTTTAGAGAGTTGTCTTCATGAATGCTACAAATGTCCCTTTATAACTTGATTTTACTCAGAGGTTTTCCAAAACATCTGTCTAAATTATTCAACGTATTTTACTTTTTTATTCCTACTCCTCTTGTAATTTCAGAGAGACCTATGTGGTTAGATGAGTCTTCTGTAGAGATTACTCTATGAAACATAATTAAATGCATACTGGAAGAAATTTTGCTCTTCTGCTGCCTTCCATGTTATAAATTCCATGTCACTGTATAGTTACAGGATGCGGCGTTCTCTTTTTTGCTTTCTCATCTCAGATCTGACTCCTCACCGTATCCCCCCACCCTTGAGCTTGATCCTCTCCTGTCCTTCAGCCTGGCATCTTGCTGGTGCTGGCAGGAGTCAGGCAGACATCAGCTGGGAGCCAGACTGAGCCTCACAAGGAATGCTCAGGGAAGCAGATTGACATGGGCTCAATAATCAGCACAATGCCGGACACAGTGCTCAATAAAGATCTGCTGAATTAATGGATGTGTGTGCTGCCTAACTGTTGCAGACACTTCAAGTTGATAACGTGGGGCTAACTGGCTGAGCATTATAAATGAGAATGGAGGACTGACCAACTCTTTTGTCCTCCAAAGTCAATAAAACTTATTTAATGTCTTCTTTTAGAGACATAAAAGTTTTATCCACTTTTAATATCTGTCAATAATTTTAGAAACATGAAAAAAAATATTCTCAAGCATCTTGTGTCTTGTTTTGAATAACAAAAGATACTTTGACAAAGAATAGCAGGTAGCAAGTTTTATGTGAAGTGTTAGGACGACACGTGTGTTATATAAAGTACCTCAGTAGCAAAATCTTAGCTACTTATGATATAATAGCTCTTGATGTAGAGCTGATCTAAATTCAGCAACTCTAAGACTAACTAAATAATTTGTGGACTTGACAATGTTCTGAAAATTCCTAAAATTAGTGTTTCTTATTGATTTCTTCAGTTTTTTCCACATTCAGTCATGTCATGAATACAAAATAAATTCCAATTAACGTGTTTTAAATTTTGTCTTACAATGTGATTCTTTGACTTACTTTGATTCCACAAAGCTAAGAAAGAAAAAGGAATTTTGTCTAGCTACATTCAGTCATGCCTCTATAGGCATGGATATATCCACACACGTAATAAATACGTACATTAAATTCCAGGTTTTCAGATGGATGAACCCCATGGCATATTCATGTATCCATTTCATCCTGAAACTCTTACTGTCTCCATCACTGCTCCTCAGGGAGCAGCGGCAACTCTGCAGAGTTCTTGTTCTGAGAAACAATGATCATTTTTTTTTCATTACCTTAAAAAGACTTCTCAGTATGATGTATGTTTGAACTACTAGGCTGATACCCAATAGTTTGATGTAGGACCAGGATTTTATTTATTCTAAAAATTGAGGCACTGAAAGTCTTATCTGAATAGAAAAATATCTTATTAGCATTTGTATTTGCCCCTCCACGTCCTTGGAAGTCACAATATGAAAAGTAAGAGTAGGCTGTAATTTATGAAACGTGAAGGAAGAGAAAGAAAAGGAAAAGGAAGTTAGATGTCAGAGCTCAGGAGATTTTGTTTGATTAAATATTTATTGTCCACCAGAGAGCAAAATAAACTACTTATGGCCCTCTCCAGATAAAACAGTATATAAAAAAGACAGTCTTAGGTTCAAATACAAACACAAGTACCACTTAAGTTGATGTTATTAATAATTCACATAATGCGGACATTTCCATACTCTGAAAAACATTATTTTGCCCTGACTAGTCCAACTAACCTTATCAAAACAGACCCAATAGACTTTGAGACACTTATTTTCCAGCTCACATATTCTTTCCTACATTAAACTTACAAGTTCGATCCTAATAAATTCCCATCTGCATATATCAAAATAAAACGTTTTCTAGTTATTAGGTTTAGAGCCTCAAACTATCCTTACTTTCCTGCCACGTGGTTGGTCCTACATAAAATATTCACGGACTTTCATCAGGCCATCCAAGTCATAGAAGGTCACAGGTCTGGAACCCATGGCAAGTTTCCTCTATTCAGCAGCAGGTTTGCTGAAGTACATTTTTGTCCAGACATGGTTGAAAGCCACATTGATCTAGTAAGGGATGAATGCTCAGACAAATGAGTTCTCAGTGCCCTTGTTGAGTACTTTTCCCCCTGAATTAGTTGGGATTTTAAGAGTCATGCAGGACCTCGCTTGGAATATTAGAAATTAGAAAATGTAGTTGTCCACAGGATGCTTGATTTCCTCACAACTTCTGATGATGGAAGATGGAAAAATCTTTAAATCTTCACTCTGAGAGAAGAACTTTCTCATATGCACATTAGGGCTGAAGGGCTATCCATTACAGAAAGATAGTATTTGCCTTTGTTTTACCAGCTGTCTTGTCTCCATCACACTACCCAAACCTTGGAATTCATGGTTAACGTTAGTTCTCTGCTTTTCTGTTCATAGAACTACATACATCTAGTTCAGCACTTACTCCCTTTCACATATAAATGTTCTTTGCTTGCAGCCTTTTATGTGGAAAAGATTATTGGGAAATTAGTGACCAAAGAAAATTATTTCAGGAGATTCAATTGATCTTCACCTTCTAAAAACTTATCAACTGCATTATATAACTGCCCACTGCTGTCTTCTTTAATCCCTCACCATCATCCTCCACATATGGAAAAGAAATAAGAATGGGGCTGAGGAGAAATAGTACAATGGCTCAGATTGAACTAAGCCATTTAGTTTCTTTTTGTTGTTGTTGTTTTACTATAAACTCTGCTTCCATGAATAAAACCATCATAATTATTAAGGAATAGCTTTTTTCCAGAGTCACATTAGAACTAGAAAGGAGGTATTTGTCGTGCATTGGGATGTCATAGCTCTGGGATAGCTCACCCCTGTGAATCACGTCTGCCCTTTCTCCTTTCCTCTTTTAGTTAACATTTGGAAAAGAACAGTTACGTTAGTAGATAACAGAGCTGGGAAGACAGATCCAGAAAGTGACGTGAGCTCTGTCAATCTTCAGCCTTGCCAAGGAGCACACATTAAAGTGCTTTTCATGGAAAATCAGCCTTAGTCAACACATATTCAGAGCAAAATGACCTTGAGGGATATTTCTATATAAGAATAACACAGACTGAAGAATCTTGAGAGAATATAAGTGAACCAAAAAGAAAAGAGGGAAAGTATCCTAAGGAAAGAAGATAAATCCCGGAAAAGGGTTGGCAAATACATTCTTGCCACTTACCTTTTCTGCTGACTGGGCTGTACCAAAAAAGATGGGAATGAAAGCTAACCAAATGATGCAGGTGGTATACATGGTAAATCCAATAGGTTTGGCTTCGTTGAAAGTCTCTGGAACACCTCTCGTTTTAATGGCATAAACAGTACAAGTGACCATCAAGAGGATACTGTACCCCAGTGAACAAATGAGCGAGAGATCAGAAATGTCACACTTGAGCACTCCCCTGGCATTCTCCGGGTCCAGAGTCCGCTGTTCTCCATAGTCAATGATGATGTGTGGGGGGTCCACAACAAACCAGACACATACTCCCAGGAGCTGGATGGAGATGAGGCTGAAAGTAATCACCAGCTGGGATGCTGGACTAATAAACTTGGGTGCTGTGACAGATTTCTTCCCCTGCTCAAATATTCGGTGGATTCGGTTTGTTTTGGTAAGAAGCGCTGCATAGCTGAAACACATGCCAAGTCCTAGGAAGATCCGTCGGAAGGAGCATATGATTGTATCTGGTGCTGCAATCATTAAGAAGGTGATTGAGTAACAGAGAAAAATCCCTGTTAGGAGCACGTAACTAAGTTCGCGTCCCGAAGCCCTCACAATAGGTGTGTCATTATAGCGGACAAAGGTCACGATCACAAAGGTGGTGGCAATGATTCCCAATATTGCAATGAACACAGGCACCACAGCCCAGGGAGAATGCCACTCGAGTTTGATGATGGGGATAAGCTGGCAGCCTGTGCGGTTGATGTTAGGTCTCTGATCCAAAGGGCAAAGTTCACAGGAAAGCTCATCCACCTGGTAGTTGTAACCTTCACAGCGCTCACAGTGCCAGCAGCAAGGGACTCCTTTCACCGTTTTCTTCCGCTCCCCAGGCTTACAGGGCAGGCTGCAGACGGACGCCGGGTGAGTGTGTTCTCTATTAGCCCACTGCATGTCTTCCACCTGTGGATATAAAAAATTAATGAGACTTCCATTTTTCCCCCATTTATAATATCTTAATCCTAGCCACAGGTTTGTAATAAATCACTAAATGCTGACAGGACAAACACAGTTTACCATAATAAGAGCCTAGTTTCTTTCCTTGATATTGACTTTATGAAAGTGTTAAATGAGTGGCTCCAATAAATTATTCGCATCGTCAACTTGATGAGTGTCATTAGTTTCCATTTACCTCCTCAACGTTGACCAATCTGACATGTGGAGAAAGATTTATTGGTCCAAACACTTTTAAAACTCAAAAGAAAAGTCCCATGGAAAGATGTTTTAGAGCTAATCACAAGTATAAATACCAGAATCCTTGAAACATCGGCTTAGAATATAAACATATATAAATAGTGATCTCTATATTGGATCTCTATATATAAACAGTGATCCAAGTCTTTCCAACATATTTGGGGAAATTCAAATCACCCTGCGTCAATTGTGAAAAGAAATGGCAAAACGAGCTACTTTAATCTCTGACACCTCTCATGTGTTCATGGTGATAACTATGTTAATGTTTTAAGACCACGCTGAGTGAGAGAGAGCTTGATGGTAATGTTTTCCATTGAACAAAAGTAGTCTTAGAGGTGGCTTAAAGCAGTGAAATTGGTACAAATGAAGGAGTCCTCCTATTGTGCTTAGTATCTGCTTCAGGGACTTCAAATTTTACTTTAAGTACCTACTCTTTTGAATTAAATGACAGAATACTTCTATTAAAATAAAAACATTAATTTAAGGGAACTCTGCCCATCATTGACCTCTTACCTTAAACTTGTTTACTAAAGGTTCTGGACCCAATTCCAATGTTTGTGTGTGTGGGTGGGGCGGTTTCCCACATCACCAAGCAATTCTCAGACACCAGCCATGTGTCCTACAATTCACTCAGTTCTGACACTATCTACCTGAAAATAGCATCAGATCCCACAGGTTAAGGCTCTGTCCTACAAGACTATCCCCCTCCCACTTCAGATGCCAGTCATAAGTCCAGGTTGTCACCTGCACTTCTGACCAACAATCTATAAGTTGGAGGTTCCAACAACCCCTGCCTTGGGTTTGATTAATTTGCTAGTGCAGCTCATGGAACTCAGAAAGATTTTACTTACTAGATCATCGGTTTAAAAGGCCATAATTCAGGCACAGCCAGATGGAAGAGATACATAAGGCAAGGTATGTGGGAAGGGCACAGAGCTTCCACGCCCTCTAAATGTGCCACTCTCCCCAAATCTCTATGTGTTCACCAACCTGGCAGCTCTCTGAACTCTGTCCTTTTGGGTTTTATGGAGGCTTCATTACACAGGCGTAATTGATTAAATCATTGACCATTGGCAGTTGACTCTATCTCCAAACCCTCTCTCCTCCCAGAGTTCTGGGGTGAAGCTGAAAGTTCCAATTCTCTAATCACAGAGTTTGTTTCTCTGCTAACCAGCCCCTATCCTTAGGTTACCTAGGGGCTTTCCAAAAGCCACCTAATTAACATAACAAAAGATACCTTTATCTCTCTCATCACAGAAAATTCCAGCAGTTTTAGGAGCTCTATGCCAGGAACCGGATCGAAGACCAAATATATATTTATTATAAATCACAATATTACATTTGCCTTATTAGACAGACAGTAATTTTAGCAGAATGCTAATCAGACAAAACTGGAAGTTATGGATCATAGGAGACCACTTATTATGAAAAGCAGCTACTATAAAAGGTAAGCTCTGTGAAGGGAGTGATTTTGTTCACTGATGTGAAAAAATAGTGATTGACACACAATTTGCCCTCAGTTATTTGTTGAATTTGTGGGGAAGGAAGGAGGAGAACAGTACCACAATAGAACCCTAGGAATAAGGAGCCAACTTGAAAGTATTGGGATCTGGAAACAGAAGACTGCTCAAAGAGGCACGGAAATGGGAGCTGAAGGAATGTTTAAAAAAAACTAAACTAAACAACAACAACAATAAATTCAAAAAACAATGTATTTTCCCAAGACCAGCTCTATTAATAACCCAAAAAGAAGAATACCATACTCTGTGGTAGTCTAACTCTAAGATGGCCCCCAATAACCTCACCTCCTAGAATTCCTGAACTCGTGTCATCTCCTACTTAGAATAGGGCTGATTTATGTAAACAATAGTATATTCCATAAATGATTGTATGTGATTTCTTAGACTAGGTCATAAAAGACATCTGGCCTCTGCTTTGCTCTCTCTTGGATCACTCACTCCAGGAAGAACTCTCAAGCAGCCCTATGGAAAGGAACCAGGGCCTCCTGACAACAACCAGCACCAATTTGCCAGGTGTGTGAGGGAGCCACCTACTAAGTGGATTGTCTTGCCCCATTCAAGCCTTCAGATGACTGCAGCCCCAGCTGACACCTTGACTGCAACCTCATGAGAGACAGAACAACCCAGCTAAGCTGCTCCTGAATTTCTGAACTACAGAAACTGTGTGAGATAATAAATGTTTTATTGTTTTACACTGTTAAACTTTGGAGTTATTTGTTATGCAGCAATAGAAAAGTAACACAGCTCAAATTAAGCTTACCCACTCTGTGATCACCACCAGTGTAGTAATCTGTTGAGACTCCACTGAGAAGGCACACTCAGTGACAGTTATCATGTACCAAAAAAATGCCCCAAAGTATCTAATGTCAGCAATATTCTTTCATCACTCTTAAAGTTGCCTCTCCTTTGGGAACTATGTGACTGAGATTATTCTCATGAACAGATGTATTACCTAAAGATGCTTTCCTTTCTTGAATGTAAAGGGAATGGTTAAGGGCAAAGAACTGTAGTCCCCAAGTTCAATATTTGCAGAGGGCTGTCAAATCTCCTCAAGGTGGAGTAGGGAATTCATGCATGTTAATTTCAAACATCCTCCCTTGAGAAAGTGGATGCTACTTCATGTGTCATAAGGCCACTCAAGACGATTAGATCTACCCTGTCTGTTCACCACAAAGGAAAAGCAATTTATCGTAACCCTGCTAATTTTCTATTAGGATTTAATGATTTAGAAAAGTTCTTTTATTTACTTATAGAATTCCATTAGGAAAGAAAAAAAAAGTTAAATTTGAAGCATATAGTAGTTTCTCTAAAAAATATTGAGAAAAATGAAATGCTTCACTGAGTGGCTAAAGTATTGATTTTATACCTTAATGGACTCTTATAAGATAATAAAATACTTTTTGTGAAGGTTATGCTTCAAAGTTAATTATTGTAAAACCAAAATTGTATTTTGTTTGGGGCTTCTATTTATAATGTTACTGTTAAAAAAAAGGCAGCAAAAAAATCTCAGAAATATTAAAGATTAGTAGAGACCTTAAAGGTCATCTTGTCTAACCACATGTCTAATTCTTTAATTCTCAATACACTTTATTTTCCAGAAGGAAATAAAATTTGCTAACAAAGAAATATACTTATACCAGATAAGCTTTATTATGTAGGATAAGTATTTATCATTATAAGCTAAATATTGAATTTTCCTCAATCAGTTTTCTGTGTACTGAACTAATAGAAAAATATTTTTATAAATAAAAAATAAAGTTATAAGATAATGGAAAATACCACATTTTTTTAATAGTTGTGAATTTTCTTTAAGTAAAAAACAATATATTCAAGCAATACTTGTGGCAATTTTTAGTGTAATGGAGAAACATTAAGTATGTTTTAGTAAACATATTAAATGTACATGCTAAATATACAGGACTCCATTTTCATCAAGGAATCTATTTATGTGTAACTATACTGTATTTTGATGTCCAAGTTGAAGTCTGGGTACCAATAAATATCCACCTCAAAGAAGGACAAATAGCAAATGCCTTAATCAGTATCTTGTAAACACATTAATATTTGAGAAAATTTATTTTATGTATGTTGCTAAATGGCAATAAAAACAATACTACTTGAGAGTAATTAAACTGCCTGATTTTCAAAATTGTGCTACAAAGCATAAACAAGGATCACTCACCTCTTTTACATTGCTATATTAACAAATTATACCTTTTCATAATGACTATAAAGAGGAGGTATATCTATGCATTTAAAAAATTTGCCTTCCTTGCCTTTGACGTTATTCTGATTAAAATGATTTCTATCTAAAATACATAGTCTAACAAGTGGATGATAGTTATATAGACAGATCTTCTAGGGACAAAACCATAGCCCATTCCTGTCTTAAAATGTTCACCAACAGTGATTCATTCTGTATGGTCCAATCCAGTATACTTCATAGAATGTGAACCATCAACTGGTTTCTGCGTCAAATCTTGTTAATACTGCAGACAAATACACCAGCAACCACAAAACCAAAGTTTTCTGAGTGAGTTTGCTTACACTTTTTAATCTTTAATCTTTCTAGACCAATCAATCTAGAATAATGCTTCATAAATTCTTTAAATAGACATTACTTTATAGAATAATTTTCTTCTGTGTAGTTTTAATAACTCCTGAAAAAAGGACTACAAGAATGTTTCCCAATTACAGGCCCCATTATAATTACTCATTTCCAGTATTCACTATAAAGTTCTCACTCAATATAATACCTCTATTACAGTGTTTTCTCCACATATTAAGTGGTATCTTCACTAATGTAATTAATATACTTGTGGGAAAATTTTAAATATAATACTTACAGATATTTGATATATAGTCATACCATTCTTAATTAGCTCTTTTCATCTTGCTCCATAAATAAGCATGGTAATGGTGACTTACTTTGGTGACTAGTTGGCCACCCCAGTATCCAAAACCCAGCTCTTCATCCGACGTAACGTAAGTAATGGCAGATTGTATATGCAGACATTTCCAGTGAAACTGGGTATTTTTTTTTAAGCTTTACTCATTAATTTCCATATAATCAATAGGCTTAACAAGTACACTTAAATAGCACGAGTATTTAAAATGTCAAAATTTGTTACCAAATTTTGTAAGTCATATGATTCACATATGAATGAGTACATGTTGCACAGTTAATTT